TAAAAGAATCTATTCCTTCTTTTGTGTTTTAGAGATTATTTATAGTTTTCTTGTGCACACCAGGGCTGAAGCTTAGATAAAGGTTTACCCAGAGTAATTACAGACCTGTCGTTGCTGGACAATGAGAACGTGTTCTTATGATGAACGAGAGCTTTTTTTTTAAACTTTTTTTTATTGACTTATAGTCATTTTACAATGTTGTGTCAAATTCCAGTGTAGAGCACAATTTTTCAGTTACACATGAACATATATTCACTGTCACATTTTTTTTTCGCTGTGAGCTACCACAAGATCTTGCATATATTTCCCTGTGCTGTACAGTATAATAGATACTGACAGGCATATGCAGAATAGATAAGCAAGATTATACTGTATAGCACCGGGAAATGAGGGATTTTTTGTATTGGCTGTAAACTAAAGTTTCTCTACCATGTGAGTTCTTTGGTATGAATAAAGGTTAGCTCTCTGGCTACTGCTTTTCTTACATTTGTTACAGTTATAGGCTTTCTCTAGGGAGGGCTGGACTTGGGTATTTCAGGGCAGTTATGTTCTGCTAAATCCCCAGTTGTTTACAGTCTGGTTAATAGTTGCTCTTGAGGGCAGGCCTCATTAAGAAGAGGGAAATGTTGTGGGCCTATTTCAAAATAGTTACTTTCTTTTTCCCCTCCTGGAAGTGAAGCACATTGTCTGCAACTGTCAGTGTGAGTATCTGGTAGGATCCTGAACAAAAGGGGGGCCCCCTGGAAGTGTTTACCTCTCAGACTGGTGCATTGAGCCTCCCACAGTTTGTAGATTCTCATTCGGGTTGCCTCCCTGGGGTCCCCGGAGGTTTCTGCTTGAGCGTTTCTGCTCTGGTAAGTGAGGGTCTTTGTGTCCACCTGTCTGTCTCTCCAGTTTGGGGGATGGCAGTGTGCCCTCTGACCTCAAGTTCTCTGAGGCATCTAACAGGAATCATTGATTTTGTTTTAGCTTTTACTTGTTTTTAGAGTTACAACTTTCAAACTCTACATGCTGAACGAATGAATGAAAAGTCTAAATGGTCCTTTTTTATCCCTTTACTTCATTGAAAGTTTTGCTTTTAAAAAAATTATTATTAATAAAATATTCTTCATTTCATTCTTGATTCCTAATTATTTTTTAGACTTTTATTATCTACTTTATTTAAAATGATTTAAGCCTAATTCACTTGGGTTTATTTTCTCCTTCTTTTAACTTACAAAGTTGAACATTTAATTGATTTTAAAACATTTTTTTCCTATTAGTTTTAAAATCCAAGTTTCAGTTGCATAGATTTTTACTTTTTAGTGAATAACAGCCTTGGAACTTTGACAGGCGTTGGATTGAACATGACTATCACTCTGAGTAGCAGAATTATTTTTTAACAATAATAATTCTTCCAACCCATGAACATGAGATACCTTTCCATTTATCTGCATCTTCTTCAATTTCTTTCAGCAGTGCCATATCCTTTTATGTCTCTGGTGGTTGGGACTCTGAGACGGGAGTCGGGGCCAGAGAAAGGACCACCCTAGAAGCTGCCAATGCCACTTTCGCTTTGGGGACGCTCCCTTTGCCTCTCACCCGGACAGGCTTGGACTCCCTGCTGCATGGAAGTTATTTGGAGAAGAAAAGCAGCATCAGAACAGTCCCCCAGTGCCCCTGACCCCTGACCCAGGCCCTGGGACCAGCGCTGCTCGCCCTCCAGCATGCTCTGATTCCAGAGCAGTCCCAGCACTGGCACTCACTGGGTGTGGGACTTGGGACTGTGGCCTGGCCTCCCTGAGCCTGTTTCCTCACCTGGTAAGTGTGGGAAGCCCACTTAACCCCCAGGTTCTCCTGAGGTCTCAGGGCCATGTTACTTTTGTCCTCTTACCATTGCTCTCGCCCTCACTCCTCCCGGTGAGATAGGACAGAAAGCTCCATACCCTCCTTCCTTTCACTTCACCACCACTCCGTGAGGCCTTCACCTTTCCCCGGACGAGGAGACGGAGGCCCAGAGACGGGCAGCGAGGTGCTCAGAGGCCCACAGAGGACAGGCCGCACCCCTTCTCAGCCAGAGCCGCTGGGACAGCACCCCTCCCCCAGCCCAGCCCCACCACTGACGTGAGTCCTGTCCTCTGGGCTCTTGAGTAGTGACCAGGCCCCCGTCCGGGTGGGGCTGTGGATGGAGGGGACGTGGGGTCTCAGAGGCCTGGTCGAGTTCCCTGCCTGCCCCAGGCTGCCTGGAGTCTCTGCTGACTAGGGACCGGGTGAGAATCCTGACCATAACTGACCGGCACTGAGGGTGACCTGGGCATACTAGGGAGTCACAGAATGAACACATCTGCTTCTGGTCCAGCCACTCGGACCCAGGACCGGGTGGCCCGTACGTACACCTAGGGCCCTGCAGTGCTGATACGTCGTCAGCAATGACACAGGCTCTGGTGGCTCACGAGAAGTGTCTGGGAACTGGTGGGTGCTTAGTGGATCCTTCCTGGGTGACCCCAGAAGCTTCATGTAAAAGGATGCAAAGTGTCC